TATCATATTTTGCCTCTAATACACCACTATGTCCAACTGCTTTGAGCGCGTGCACGGCATCCAGTGCGTGAGGTGTGTACGCACTCCGGCGTAGTTTACGCAAGCGCCGGAAGTGATCTCTCGCGCGTATACATCACTCATTGTTTACACAGTGCACAGTCATTGTAGGTACGACGGCTAATCAAAATGGTACTTATTTGCGCTTATCCGGATTGTTCAAACCGACTTAAAACTAAAAGATTTCTTTCTCGCGCGAACTCATTCGGGAGTGGTGACTTTCCACATATTCCCAACTTCTGAGCCTGCTCGCCTGAAGTTATGGTTGATTGCTCTTCAGCTGGATATCAACACACCCATTAACGTAAACTATGTCAGAGCGCGTACACACCGGATGCCGTGCGCGTACTCAAAGCAGTTGGACATAGTGGTGTATTAGAGGTAAAATATGATATAAATACTGTTCGGTTTCTGGCACAAACCGATCGTTTCGTGTCTTAGGACATCAATGTGTCATCACGAGCCGCAGGGTTTAATTTGGATTTGTCTGTGCATGTTTTTTTTACTCTCATAGATTTTGTTACCATTGCTATGCATTATACGACTGATAGACTGCAACGGCTGGAGTCAAAAATCTCCGTTTGTGTTCTACTGAAGAAACAAAGTCACCTACATCTTGGATGCCCTGGGGGTAAGCAGATAAACATCAAATTTTCATTTTTGGGTGAACTATCCCTTTAAGTTAAAACCTTTTATTTTTGTTTCACAATGTGCTTGAGGGAAAAAAAATACCTCAAAGTTTTATTCCCACAAAAGAGCCAGGGACCAGCTCTCCTTTCTGAGAAAGAATAGAATGTCTGGTACCTGCTTTCACAGCAGTATCAGTTATTATGGCTGAGAAGTAATTGAATAAGATCAACAGGTACAAACAGACAGCACTGGAAAAAGCCTATTTTTTTTAGCTAGTAGATTTTAGCTGTGAGGGTGTCGTGGGAACATCCGTTTCACCCTGTGTCTTTGTTTAGTCTTTCAGCTAAGAAACCAATTCACAGGAGCAAAAGGGAGAAAGAGTTGGTTGCAAAACTCTTTCTTAACTCTTTTCAATGGAATTTTAGGAACAAATTCAACTGATATGAGCTGTATGAACAAAATAACAGTAGACAACCAAGGTCACCAAGGCTTTATTATAACATTAATAAAACATTTTTATTAATGTTATAAAACAGTTATGCTGCTATACATGTGTTTTTCAGGATTCTTTGATGAATAGAAAGTTCAAAAGAATAGCATTTAAATGAAATAGGAATCATACTAAACCCAATTTTTTGAATGGTAGTGTATGACATGAGACCAGGGACAATTCTAGGATTTCAATATTAGGGGGCTCAGATGATTAAAAAAATGTGTGTGTGTATA